TGTTGGTAAGAAATGAATCTGTCCTTCAAACATCTGGAATTACTTTGGATATGGCTATTATAAACATGTCCTAGTAACGCTTCCCTTGTCAAGAGGATTGTAAAGAGCTTTAAAAACATATTTTATTTATGGTCTTCACATTCACCTTATGAATCAGGCCTAGAATGAGAAAAATAATAAGTTATACAACGTAAGACAATTGCTTGTGCTCATTGGGACAGTCAGGTTGAGGGTAATGGTGTGCAGACACATGAAGTTTCAGCTCGAGCATATCATGTGTAACTGTAAACTCTAGTGTGAGTGGTTAACCAGTGCTGCTAACAGCGAAACATCAGTTGTACTATTAACCCTTGTGCGGTCTTCGGTCACTTCTGACCGGAGAATTTTACATTTTGAATTTTTTTAAATCCTAGCTTCACCAGAATGGTACAAACTTGGTGACTTTTATGGCACTTGGTATGTGAACACATAAAACAAATAAATACAAAATGAGGGCATGATTCGAAAAAGCTAAGTGGTGTACAAACTTGGTGACTTTTATGGCACTTGGTATGTGAACACATAAAACAAATTCGAAAAAGTGGTCGTAAAAAAAATAGTCACACTCATGGTCTTCGGTCAAAAATGACCGACCATGGGAAATTAATGGGAAATGGGGAAAAAAAAAAAGGAAAAAAAATACAGAATTTTTTTGTGTACGATCTACAAATCCCCCACGATGCAGAAAAAAAATTGCACAGCCATGAAGGGGTGAAACGCAAGGAAGGGGTTACACTCTAAAACATCAAGAGTGTAAAACAGATACATCCACTCACACACACTCACTTACACACACTCACAGACGCACATACAGAATTATACATACAAAATGAATTGGTATGGCTATAACCATATAGCCAAAATGAGTCAGAAGACTGAAATAAGAGGTTAAAATCAGATCAGACCCAGAAGGATTAAGCTCTGATAAAGCATTCCTGTTCATGTTTGTTACATTTTTATAGAATTTTAATGTTTTGTGTAACAAACTGCTTTCTGTGTTAAGGTTTGAATGTAGTAATAATAATGCAAAAACCAACACTTCAAATCAACATGTAAAACAACAAAAAATATAAACCTTGACAAAAAATAGTCTTTGAGAATTCCTTAATATACATTTAAATCCACAACCTAATAAAAGTAAACAATTATGTATAAAAACAACTAGGGAATTCACAAGCCTCTCTATAGAATCCTATACAGGAATCTAGTGGTTACACCATGAAATTACAGGGGTTTTTTTTCTTTTCTTTTTCTTGCTCTCACCAGGAGGTGCTATTGGGCATTCAAAAATTGGATTTTAAAGGCCTAGTCTCTATTTTAATCTGAAATACTGCATTAATTGAAAAATAATTGTAAAAAATTAGAAAAAATGGTACTATTTTCAGTGGGAAAAATGTATCATAATTATTGCATAAATATTCATTAGTACCATAAAATTATCTCAAAATACAAAAGAAAAAATATTATTGAACAAAAATATATTCGATTGATTTTACTGAAGAAAAAATAAAAAAGTTACATTTCAGGTGTCCGGTCACTTTTGACCGCGAAGACCAAGAGTGTGACCCCCAAATGAGGAGCGCACAAGGGTTAAATACATTGCTGTACCTGAAACATCTGTGTAAGCACTGCCTACATCTAAATTAACAAGTATTGCAGAAATAACAATTGTCTATTTTAAACTAAACTTAACATTAGATTAAAGATCCCTAAAGGGACCTGAATTTATGAAATTGCAGTCAGACCTGTTGATAGAAGATGCTTCAAAGAAATGAAAGCAGATATATTGCTATTTCAAACAATGGATTTATAAAAGAGCAAGTTCTTTAAACAATTACTAAAAATAAGATTTAAATAGAAATAAGCATGGAGGTATATCATGCATAAAGTCGTAGTAAAAGACAACTTAAACTTAAGTCTTAAAATAATGCCTGCGTAAACAGGCAAAAATGATTTTGTATGGTAAGAAGTACTGAACTTAAGAAGAATATGTACATACAATGATCCAAAAACTATTTGGACACTTAAACCACACTGAACAGAATGTCACCACATTAGATGAAAAAAATATATATATACACCAAGTGGCATTTACAGTAGTTTAAAGTAAAACATATTAAAATCAATAGTTTGTTTTTGGTTTTAAATGATCAGTCAATAGATATGCTGAAAAATGAAGTTTTATAAAGTGCTGTGAAACATTCTGTTTGCAAAATATTAGTGTAACATCACGTTTATAATTAATGTGATGAACTGACCTCATACATTCACTAAAATACTGTAATGTTGGGATCAGTTGTCTAAATGTCACTGCGATAAATTTCTCCGAAAATATGCCACTTGGTTTAAAATTTCCTTATCTAATGCAATGAAATTCATACATTTTAACTGATTTCCAGGCCACTGTGTTGAAGCTACTTTGTGACAAATTCAACATGCTTTTGCCTCCTGTTCACTCGATTAGTCGATGAGTCTTTTGAGCTATGCAACCCATCTGAACTTACAGCACAAGATAATATTGAGTCCTTTCGTGTTTTATCAAAGGTCTTCCTTTGTTCACTGCGTCCTCGTGCCCTATAGCCGACCTCCCTCGAACCCACACAGGAATGACTCCTTTGCCCTGGCTTTCTCTTTTTTACATCCCCAATACTGGCATTGCTGGCTGTTGTAGCTGTAGAAGAAGCTTGGTCAACACTGTATGTGGAACCAACCGGATTGCGAATGTTACCGATAGCCTGCATGCGCCTCAAGTGGCTGCTCTCGCTCAAAGGGTCGCTGAGTCTGTGCTCTCGAGATCGGTGTCTGGGATCCGGCTGATGAGCCCTGCTCTCACTGCTGCTCCTTTTAGGCAAACCTGAGGCCAGGCCCTTCTTCTCCAGGAGTGGACTCAGTCGTGTGTGGTGGTGGTAGGCATAAGAGCGGCATGGACCATTCAAGATGGGATACTGATTCTGGCAGTGTGTGCAGGTACAGCTTGACAGCTGAAGGGTGGGAGCACTGGCCAAAGAGGACAGTAACGTCAAAGGGAACGCTCGCTGGCACTGGAGGATGCATTTAGGAGAGCTGAGGCTGAGATGAGAAGATGAATGAGGCAAGTGGCGAGCTTTAGGTAATGGGGCGTTGGATTTGCTGCTGTCTTCTTGGGCTGTTTGGATCTGATGCCATTCTAATTGCAATAGCCAGTCCAAGTATCTCTCAAGCTGCCCAACGGGCTTGGGTCGAGGAATGCCCTTGCCTTCGGTGTTCAAGTACACAGCTAACTGCAGGAGACTCCAAGCATTGAAAGGAGGCGGTAAGAAATCTGGATAGCTGTTGTACGCTCGACAAGACGGTCTCGAGGGATGAAAGGCAGACGGATCTATGACCTCTGCACGTAGGTTGAGGTCAGGAGGAGAGATTTGAGCGGGAAGCGCAGATCTTTCAGAGTCTGAGAGGTCACTGGCACCGTCCTCTTCTCCATCTTTACTTTGTAGTGTACAGCCCTCGTCTTCGCTTCTGCACTCTGATGAGTTTTCTCTCTGAACTTGTACAGAATGAGGGGTTACGGGTCTTACACTTGAACTTTTACCCCTGCCACCACTCTCTTTTGCACCATGGCTGTTTGGTCTTTGTCATCTCTCCTTCTGTCCATTTTTGGAAGTGGCATGAGATTTGATCTTAGTGGTGTGTTGCCTTGAGGAGCCAAAGGAAAGGGTTTTAAATGTCTTTGAAATGGTTTACAGTATCTGGTCACATTTTATTTTGCCACATATTGACAAAAATAATTATGTACATGGCTTTATTTATATATTTATTTTAGCTGCTTGTTGAATTAATGCATATTCATATTTATTTTAGAACTACAGTAACATCCCATCAAACATTGGTCTGACGGCAACGTCGTGTCCCTGGCCAAAAATAGTCGCGGTAGGACGGCATAAATCGGTAAAAATATGTAACACAGAACATTTCCTAAAAATGCATTCAGATACGTTTGTGCATCTCTACAGTTATCTGGGGTTGCATATATAATTGTTACCTTGACTTTTTTAGCTAAGTGTAGTACAATATGTATACCCTGTTGTGAATCAGTTGTGAGAGGACGTCCACTAGTGACGTCCTTTACACGTGCATTTATAGTCCATCACGACCCTCTATGAAATTCCAAAAGCAATTGTGCTTACACCTTTGTTTATACTCCAATAATTAAATTAAGTGCCCTAAGTAGTTTTTAAGAGGTTGTGAGTAACGTCCACTGACGTCCTTTACACGTCTTTAGTCGACCAAGACCAATTGTAAAAAATTATGAAATAAACAATCATCTGTATTTACATCACGATCATTTGTATTTATTTTGCGTTATTTAAAGGACACGGGATTATATAATAGAATTTAGTGAAGAGTACGGTCCTGATCCACACTCCTAATCAGTAGGTGGCGGTAATGCACCTAAAAGTTGTATGCCATCCGCCATTAAACACCAAGAAGAAGAAGAACGCATTTTCCCGTTTCTTCAAACGATCACAAGGAGAGGATTTGAGGAGGGGGCTTTGTTTTATTGCGAAAGTCGACAAATTATTAAAAATCTACTGTTGGGTAAGTACATTTTGTATTATTTTATTAATGTGGTTGAGTTTTACTTGTTTGACGCGAAGGAACCGAAAGAAATGTGCACATTGTCAACTGAAATGTAGTTTGAGTTTGGCTAAAATTAGCTAACGTTAGTAACTTAGGCTAAAAGTAGGGCTAGTGTGAATAAATCTAGATTTAAATTCAAAGAGAAAAGATAGTCGATGCATGACCTGGCGTTTTATTCGTATCCAATTATTATTCGTGGAAATTTTTCTGAGGTGAAGTAATCCTGAGTAATTTCTTTCACAGAATCATGTCCAGGCGGCTGTGAGATCTGATCTGATCATCATCCAGTCTGTCTGCAATGACGTGAAGAAACAGAACAAACTGAGACAGACAACGTCTCCAAGATGTTTCAAGAAACCTACCTGCAAAGCTACAGTACTGTTAAAAGTATTAGGCACTT